TAAAGTATGTGATCATAGACTCAGAAGAAATCTTCAAGAAGAGCAGTCTACTTCTTCACACAGTTAATATCATAGATGAGAATATTATTCTAGATCTTCTATGATTGAGAGAAAACAATTCTCTCATTGACTGAGTCACTCAAATGTGATGATACTGTCTCACTGATGAAGAGACAGTGATAGAGAAATCTGAAGAGTTTCATTAAAAGAATCTTGAGAAAAAGATTGAGTTAATATACTGTGTAGCAGATGATTGAGACTTGAGAATAAATAAAGAAGCTATTACTCTCACTGCAAGATTAGCAGCAGTATCTATTATTGAAGATGAATGTATATGACATCTCTTTACAGATTTTAAGAATGTCTTTTCAGAAAGAAAAGTAGTGAAGTTTTCTGATATCAAGATATAATATAAGATTCATCTTGAAGACAGTGTAACAGTGCTGTACAGATCTTTTTACAACTTATCTGTAAAGAAATTGAATGTTCTGTGCAAATATCTTGAAGAAGCACAATTAAAGAACTGAATATATTTATCAAAGAGTCTGACAGAGACACTTATACTCTTTATGCTCAAGAAGAATGATAGACTATATCTATGTGTAGACTATAGAGGTCTCAATAAGATGATAGTTAAAAATCACTATTCATTACTGTTAATTAACAAGATAATCAATCAATTATCTGAAGTAAAGATGTTCTCAAAGATTGATATACAGAATATCTATTATAGAATCAGAGTTAATGAAGATAATATTTGAAAAATGACTTTTTATATCAAGTACAGCAATTTTGAATATCTTGTTTTATCTTTTAATCTTTGTAACACTTCAGTCATCTTTCAGATCTATATAAATAAGACACTGCAGGGCCTTGTTGACATCTTCTGCATAGTATACTTGAATGACATTTTAATCTTCTCAAAATCAGAGAAAGAACATGATATTCATGTTCAAGAAGTGTTGAGTTACTTGAGACAGTATTAACTCTATATAAACACTGAAAAATGCTTGTTCTACATGCAGGAGATTGATTTCTTAGATTATATTATTGAGATGAATGACATTTCAATAAACAGAAGCTGAGTCTCTGTTATTAAGAACTGACCAGCACTGCAGATGTATCATGAGATGCAGATGTTTCTAGAATTTATGAATTTCTACAGATGATTTATCTATATATATTCACAGATTACTGTTCTTCTTACAGATCTGTTAAAGAAAAGTGTGAAAGACAGAAAAATAGAACTATTTATTCTCACTCAAGATACTGTGCAGATGTTTGTGAAATTGAAACAAGCTTTCACAGATGTTACAATGCTGAATCACTTTAACTCTGATTTACTTAGTCAGTGTGAGACTGATATATCTGAGAATGAGATCTGTGAAATCTTTTCACAGTTGACATTGAAGACCTTTCAATATTGAAAGAATCAGAGAATAATCATCTCTGAGAAAATAGATAATGAATTATCTGTGAGAGAAGACTTTTTCACAGAGTTTATAAAACACTGTGAATGAAGATCAGTGATCTTCTTCTTCAAGAAGTTATCACTTATACAGAGAAGATATAATACTCATGATTAGAAGATGTTAGTAATTATTGAATTCTTTAAAATCTGATAATATTATCTTCAGAGTAGTAAGTACTCAGTGCAAGTTCTCACTGATTATACAAATCTGTGTTACTTCTTGATAATAAAGAGCTTGATAGAATGTCAAGTCAGATGAGCAGAGCTGCTTTCAGAGTATGATTTCTATATCTGATACTGTTCAGATCAGCTTAACTCTGCTGATACACTGTCTAGACAGTCTGATTATAATATCATTGATATAGAGAAGAATTCTACAAAAGAATCTCTATTATCACTGCAGAAGAAGCTGGCTGCAGAGAATTAAGATTCTCTGAAGCTTGAGAACAGTGTCAGAGAGACAGCTGCACAACTCAGTATAGAAGATGAAAGAAAACCTGAGTTCTTACAGAGAACTGATACTGAAGATCATGAGCTTCTTATATTATATCTTACAATCATTGAATTAGTAAAGAATAAAACAGTCTACAATCTTTCAATCTGACTACTTTTGAAATTTATTGATAAATTATAGAAGAGAAATATCTCTACTGCAGCTTGAATTCAGAAGTTGAAGAAGAAAGAGTTCAGTTTGAACTTGAAAGAGACAGACTCTGAGTGAGACAGTGCTGCTAAGAAATCAAGTCACTGATAACTAGAAGAATATAAACTTCTACTGCTGAATGATTCAGTCTTCATCTCTTATAGCAGAGCAGTGTATCAGAAGTTATTGAGAATTTATTATAATAATTCTCATATAGAACATTTCAGATTAGAGAAGACTGAGAAGCTTCTAAAATATAAATATATTTAAGATAAGCTTTAGATAGATGTCAAAGAGTATATTAAAACTTACAATATTTATTAAAGAATAAAGATTCTGTGATATAAGTAATACAGTAAGTTAATATCACTGTCTGTTTCAAAGAGCTTATAACAGAATCTATTAATGAATTTCATAGTTGATCTACTGAAGTTAATAAGAGTCAAAGAATATGACTTAATTTTAGTCATTGTTAACTGCTTCACAAAGATAGTCAGATATATCTTTATTTATAAAAAGATTAAAGTCTCTGAATTGACTGATCTGTTTTTAGATATTATTATTTATAATCACAGTGCTCTGAAGCCCCGGTGGCCGAATGGTTAATGCGGCCACCCGGTAGCACCTTGGCGTGGGAAACCAAGGCGCGTGGGTTCGAAACCCGCAGGGGATACATTAAATCCGGAACTCAAGCACCTCAGGTTCCTAATAAATACAGAGGTGTACAAATCGCTCCAATGAATTGCTCTATGTTCCTGGGCTGGGAAGTTATTATCGCATGTATCTAATTGTCACTCCTTTGTATTTTCCTATGTTCTTGTTATCTTGGCGTGGTCTCAACACCTGTATTTCCTCCTGTATAACCAACACTTGACCTGTATTTAACATCACGCAAGGACTCATCATAAGCTCCGCTTGCATATGAGTATAATGGAAGAATAATAATAATAATAAACAGTGCTCTGAAATTATTAATAACAGATTAAGAATCTCTCTTCATCAGTAAATACTGATCTGCTTTTTACTATTATCTTATAATAAAATATCTTCTCAGTACTGTATTTTATTCACAGACTGATGATCAGACTGAACATCAGAATCAGATATTAGAATAGTATTTTTAAGTATTCTATTCATATTATCAGAATGATTAATTCAAACATCTTCTAATCACTGAATTCATATATAATAATGTAAAGAATGTAATCTTAAAGATATCTTCTTTCTATGCTTATTATAAATATAATTCTTCATTACTCAGTGATATTGTGAATAACATTTTAAAGAGAGAAATAGACAGTCAGAATGTCAGACAGATATAGAGAATAAAGTATTTCTCAGTATTAGAAGTAAAAGTGAGATTGAAACTTTTAAATAAAATTCATGAGAAGACAGTGAAAAGCATTCACTGTGTCTAGAAGTAGTAGATAAAATACTATAATTAAAAACATCTTTTAATAAAGTTTTTAATAGAGAATTAAGTACTACTTTCAGCAAAGAATATCAAGATAATGAGACTGTATAAGAAGCTTAGTGAGTAGTGACTAGAATCTTTCTCAGTAATAAGAGTGATAAGTAAGTAGATATATAAGTTAAAATTACTCACAGAATTGAAATCAATTCATTCTGTTTTTTACATTTTCTATTTAAAGCTCTATAAGTAATATCTCAGAGCAGAGCTGTCTTGATCAGATAATATCAAGATTGAGAGTAATACTGAATATCTTATGAAGAAAATATTGAATAAATGAATATATTATAGCAAGCTTCAATATCTTGTTAAATAAGAAGATTATTCATTATTAGAGAATTCATGAAAACTGCTTAAGCATTTGAAAAATGCTGAGAAAGAGATTATAAGCTATGAGACAGCTAGTAAAGATCACTCTGCTATATATCAGAGATATTGAGTAAGAAATACTACTTAAAACTTCTCATTTTTTCTCAAAGAGTTTTTTTAAAGATAATCTTATAGTGATAAGCTGATATCTTATAGACTCTGTAACACTCTTCTTCTATCTTCTTTCAAAGAATTTTTTAGAAGTTTAATGAGACTATACAAGTGTAAAATTCCTGAAGCAGTTAATAAGAAAAGAAAGAGATATTTGAAATTAATAAAGATTAATATTATCAATCTGTGAGTTACTGCTATTTTAATAGAGCTGCAGCTCACTGAAAAAGTAAAAAGAGAGATCAGAGTCTACTCATCAATAATCACACTCTTATCAAACTTATTCTTCACTGTTGAAGTCTCTGATATTAGTATCTTTATCTGCTAAGAAGTTAGTACTGCAGCACTGCAGAAGAGTATGAGAAATATATAAAAATATTAACTTATTAACTTATAAAGTATCTCAGTTATCTGCTTTAATTGAAGTGAGATTCTCTTCAATCAGTGATTAATCTCTATGATACTTTTAACAGCAGTGCTGATTAATCTCTTCTTAAAATCAGTTATTCTGAGATGTTTTTTCATCTTAAAGATTCATGCTTTTGTCTTCTTTTATAGATAAGTAAGAAGAATCTTCTCAGTCTTGATAGAATTCATCAATACTTAAAGCTCTGAGATTCTCACTCTATACTGCTTGAGTATCTAGACTTCTTATCAGAGCTGATACAATATCTTTCTGTGAGATAATACTTATAGAGAGATAGAAGTTATTGTTACAGATATAACAGAAATAATAGATGTAAGAGAAGAAATAAGTGTATAAAATTCCTTTCTTCTTCAGCTGCTTGATACAGTGTAGACAAGTAGTAGTACTAATCAGAGACTGCATCAGAGCCTTCTCACAGAGAGAAGATAAAGAAATCACAGAACTCTGTGAACTCAACTTAGCAGTATTCTGAGCAGGGCTCAGACATGCTGCAGGAGAGGAACTACAGATTGAGCTTCTCAGAGTCACTGTCTCTGAAATCAAGCTCTCCTCAGGTTCCTCTCTGAATGACCACACAGGGTCATACACCACTGTATTGGCTGAGGGGGGGGGCGGCGTTGCAACAGCGGTGAGAGGGGCAGGGGACAGACCGGATGCAGACTCACCGGCCGGCAGAAGGGACAACACCCCACTGCAAGGCACGGCAACTACCGCCGCGGCTGCGAGAGAAGCAGGAGGAGATGTGGCAATGGGAGTGGTGCTCCCGCAGCTCATTGATGCCACTGTCTCCAACCTGGCTTTCTTGACAGTCACAGAGGCCGCTGCTGCATCATAAAGACATTTACTCACTAGAAAATGTCAGAATAAGCCTCTTATTATCTTCCAAGAATGATGCTCTCATGCACTCACTATTACAGATGAGAAGAGAAGGAGAAAAAAGTGTCATGAAGAGAAGAGATCTTTTTGAAAAAATCCTATCACTACTGTTAGCTTTATCTCTAAAATACATCACTTTTGCAGGAAATTTCATACATAGAATGAAATATATTGAGAGATCTGCAAGTCACTTATTAACTATATTTTTCATATTTTAAATCAATATATAAGAAACTCACTTATCACATATTTAATTTGAATGAAGATGAGAAAAGAAAGATCTACATAGTCAGTAGAATAACTCATCTATTTCTTTGTACAGTATATACACTGTTAATTGATTGATAACTGTTGCTATATAATAAAGATAATTTCTAATCTGATAATCTTAAGAACATCAGAACTATGCTCTTAAAGAAGAGAGTATTATCACACTCTCAGCTATGTCAAGACTCTGTTACAGTTTCACACAGTTTATTACTTTCATACAGATAATTTCATTCTATCTGAATCAGTTTTCAATCACTCTATGACATCATTCAGATATATTATAGAAAGATTTAATTAATGAATATAAGAACTCTACTTCTATATAAGATCAGCAGATTACTCTTTCTTAATAATGAGATACTGCTAAGATATTACTTCAGCTATTCTCACTCATGAAATAAGAGAAGAGTATTCACTCATTATCTATATAGAATAGCTAGATACTGACTTCTTATCAAAGAAGTCAGTGATTTGTTTTTCTTCTACTGAAATATATATAAGAGTTACTGTATATCTTATACAATCTTCTTAGTATACTAAGTATTATATCTGTGATATTCTCACAATAACTCTGTAGTCTACAAGCTCACTATTCAAGCAAGATAGTCAAGCTCACTTATATGACTTCTCAAACAACTACTTCTATGTGATGCTGCTGACTAGTCATCACTTCGGTTCTGCTATGTTACAATTATGAAAACATTCAGATATATATAAAGTATTTTATTAATGAAAGACTGAAATACTGCAGAGATATTAGTCAGACTAAAAGATATTACTAGATATTTAAACAATCTCAGTACAGTTCTAAAGACAGTCTTTCATTCATTCTCAGACTGTATTTACAGCTGTGTATATACATTGATTATATTTAGTTATATGAATATAACAGCTCTTGTAAGACAGTTAATTACATTCTCAATCAGAGACAGAGAATAGTAACTCTTTATTATCTTGAAGTTCAGATTGTGATAGTCTATATATAATCTGAGATCTTTATTCTTCTTCTTTATGAATATCACAGAGACTTCTGCAGAGATCTGTGAAGATTAAATAAAGTTATTCTTCAGATTCTTCTTTATATAGATCTGTAAGACCTCTGTCTTGTAATAAGAGAGCTTATAGATTGATTCTCAGAAGAATTTCTGCTCTTCTATTAAATCTATTATCAGATTCTTCTTATGATAAGAAGAAAGCTCAGCTATCTTTACTGAGCTGAATATCTCTGTGAGATCTTGATATTTCTCTGATATCTGAAGCTCAGTTTTCATGACTGTGAGATTCTCAGACACTTACAAAGTTATTATATAGATAAGCTTGTCTTCTCTAATCAACTCTGCAGCATTAACTAATTCTATCTCTATAAGTAAGTCTGTCAACACTGATTGAAAGTATAAACCTGACTCACAGACAGCTATGTGCAGATTATATCTTTAAAGTTATACAAGTCTCAAGTACATGTTATCTATAATATTCATGATAATTACAGTTTCTGCAAATCTTCTTCAGATTTCAGAGAGATCTTATAATTCAAAGATAACTCTTATAAGTCTCTCAGTTCTCAGATCTGAGTTCTTATACTCTGCTTATTATAAGAGCAGATTCTCAGTCTTTATCTTTTAGCTTATTCACTCTGCAAGCTTTAGAAACATCACAGTAATCTGAGATTCTGAGTTCATTAATACTTTTCATACTTGCAGAGTACAGTATTATGATGCAGTCTCTCTTTATAAGTAAGTATTTTTATCAGAGAAGCAACAGATTCAGATATCAGTTTCAAGATTTTTAAGAAGACTGTTGCTGACTCTGTCTGTAACTTCTCAAATTTCTATTTTAATTTGTCTGAACAGTTTGTGTGAAGATATTCTAATTTAGAACAGATAAAACAGAGTCTCTTTTTCTTAATCTTTCTATTATACACTCTGTTCACAGAAGCTTATGAAGCTCTTTCTCTCTGCTTAGCAGTCAGATATAAATCTCTCTATATCTTATCATCTTTTTCTGATAAATCTGTTCTCTGTTGTTCTGACTCTTGTAGAGCTGATTAATGATCCACTCTTCACAGATCTGTGACTCTTACAGTGATCTATAAGTAATAAATGAGAGTCATCAGTTTCTTCAGAGTCAAGAACTTAGAGTCTTACTTAATGAGCTTGTTCTACATGTCTTTATTCAGTCTCTTTATAAATATCATTATTCAGATCTTATTTCAGAGCTCTGTTTTCACAGATCTTAATTCATATATATTTTCATGAGTACTGTGAGTAGTCTTTTATCAGATTTCTATCTCTTTTTCTATATGATGATACAGCTCAGATAATCTCTGTTCAGCTTATAAAGTCTCTTAACTTATTCTCTAGATAGATCTTGAGAACAGATCAGCAGAATCTCTTATGATTATTCTCTAGATAATTCAGTCAGTTCTTGACTTCAGTGTAATAGAGATCTGTCATTATATAGATGACAGCTTCTTCATCTTTCATGTTATATAGTCAGACTTATAAGTCAATTTCAAATACAAACTTATAAAAGCTTTTATAGATTGTGATTTAATAGATAATCTTAAGTAATTACAGCTTAAGAAAGTTTCTTTTTGATTTGTAAATATCTCTGAAGATTATGTCTAGAGACTTAGTTTGAGAGTGTTTATAAATAGTAAGTATTTCTTATAGAAAAATAGCTTGATTCTGTAAGAGATGCTCAAGAATGTTCTTCACTGAGATTGATTTATTTATAAGTTCAGAGAATTTCTCTGTCACAGATATAGAGAATGATATTTCATGAGTGATTAATAAGTTCTCTGAGACTTCTTTTATAAGAGTTATTCATGATTCAGATGACTGCTTCTGAGTATCTGTAGTAGAATTCACAGAGATTGAAGCATGTGAATTTCTAGTTCTTTCAGTTATAATAAGTGATTGCTGACTGACTGAGCTTGAAATGTAAGAATAAGTACTTACAGATGATTATTCAAGTGTTTGCAGCTTGATGTGTTATGTACTGTTAACTACTAGAAGTATTTATGATAGAAAGATAAAATGTAGAGATCAAATGTATAATAGCATTCAAGCTGAGTTGTGAATAGTATTCATGAACTTCAGTCTATATAGTTGTGTGTAGTCAAGGGCCGCTAGCTCTATTAATTACACGAGAGATAGAAATAGAGGTAAAGAATCCGCGAGGAGCGGGATTTCTTACAGTGCTACTTTCAGTAAAGAATATCAAGATAATAAGACTGTATAAGAAGCTTAGTAAGTAATAACTAGAATCTTTCTTAGTAATAAGAGTAATAAGTAAACAGATATATAAGTTGAAATTACTCACAGAATTGAAATTAATTCATTCTATTTTTTATATTTTCTATTTAAAGTTCTATAAACAATGCTTCAGAGTAGAGTTATCTTGATCAGATAATATTAAGATTAAGAGTAATACTGAATATCTTATAAAGAAAATATTGAATAAGTAAATATATTATAGTAAGCTTCAATATCTTATGAAATAAGAAGATTATTTATTATCAGAGAATTCATAAGAATCACTTGAGTATTTGAAAAATACTGAGAAAGAGATTGTAAACTATAAAACAGCTAGTAGAGACTGCTCTGTTACATGTCAGAGATATTAAGTAAGAAATACTGCTTAAAACTTCTTATTTTTTCTTAAAGAGTTTTTAGAGATAATCTTACAGTAATAAGTCAGTGTCTTATAAGCTCTATAACACTCTTCTTCTATTTTCTCTTAAAGAGTTTTTTAGAAGTTTAATAAGACTATATAAGTATAAAATTTCTGAAGCAGTTAATAAGAAAAGAAAGAGATATTTAAAACTAATAAAGATTAATATTATTAACTCACAGACTGCTGTTATTCTAATAGAGCTACAGTCTGTTAAAAAAGTAAAAAGAGAAATCAGAGTCTACTTATTAATAATTATATTCTTATTAAACTCATTCTTCACTGTTAAAGTCTTCAGCACTGATATCTTTATCTGTTAAGAAGTTAATACTACAGTATTATAGAGAAGCATGCTATAGAAGAGTATAAGAGATACTTAAAGTATTAACTTATTAATTTATAAAGTATCTCAGTTATTTACTTCAATTAAAGTGAGATTCTCTTCAATCAGTGATTAATCTTTATAGTACTTTTAATAATGACACTGACTGATCTCTTTTTAAGATCAGTCATTCTGAGATATTTTTTTATCTCAGAGATTTACACTTTCATCTTCTTTTACAGATAAGTAAGAGAGATCTTCTCAGTCTTGATAAAATCTATTAATACTTAAAGCTCTGAGACTCTTACTCTGTACTACTTGAGTATCTAGATTTCTTATCAGAGTTAATACAATGTCTTTCTATGAGATAATACTTATAGAGAGATAGAAGTTATTGTTACAGATATAATAGAAATAATAAGAGTAAGAGAAGAAATAAGTGTATAAAATCCCTCTCTTCTTCAGCTGCTTGACACAATGTAGATAAGTAGTAATACTGATCAGAGATCACACTGAAGCCTTCTTACAGAGAGAAGATAAAGAAATCACAGAATTCTGCAGACTCAACTCAGCAGTATCTTGAGCAGAGCTCAGACATGCTGTGAAAGAGAAACTACAGATTGAGCTTCTCAGAGTCACTGTTCTCAGAATCAAGCTCTCTCTGAGATTCTCTTCAAATAACTACACAGGGT